GTGTAAGTGAAGATCTGAGTAACAAGTGCAAGAAATGTGTCTGGTGGTGAACTGCGAGAGGCAGGAGGAGGCCAGAGGCTTCGCCCGGTGCCCGTGCTAGGAGGGAGGAGCAGCTGCGAGCCCGGTTCTGTGCTGGGTCAGAACAGCTGCGAGAGTAGTTGTTAGGACTGGCAAAGGGTGAGAAAGGGAGGCCGGGGGGAGAGTCTCCTCTTGGCTGCGCGAGCGCGTTACCGACAGGTACGGAAATTGAGGGGAAGCAGGTCTAGGAAAACGGTGAATTCTGATCTGGGATGCTTTTAAGTTCCAAGTGAGTCTTCACAGCAAAGTCCAGAGGTAGTGGAAGACTTGCCGGGAAGTACATATGCAGTGCCGCCGGCAGTGTAGCCGTTTCGTTGTCTTTGGGTTTGCTTCGTTCTTTCTTCTGTTTATTTTTCCCAGGCTCCAACAGGGCAGGTCTAAGCAGAGTGTAGCAGGATTTACTGAGCAAATGTTCTTTGAAGATTTATAAATTCTCCACGAGAATTTACACATAGATTTGATACACGTAAGAGTATATTATCTGCAGAGATAATTCTGATTCTGCTTTTAATGTCTTTGTCTTGTCCAGCTGTTCTGGCTAGAACTCCCAGTGTTATGTTGGACAGAGCGGCCAGGCCTCTTCGTCTTGTTTCTGCTCTTAGGGCAGCTGGGTGTGGTGGTGCACACATGCAACCCCAGCACACTGGGAGGCAGAGCTGGGATGACCACAAGTTCGAGCCCAGCCTGTGATCCCTTAAGTTAAGGGATCAGAGTTCAGACCACAGCATGCTTTTTTGAAGTGTCTTATTTAGAAGAGTTGGGGTTAATTCTTCTTTAAAATATCTTGTAGAATTCCCCAGTGAAGCCATTGAGTCTGATCTTTTCTTTGTTGGGAGGTTGTTTGGTTGTTGTTGTTTTCTTTTACAAGGTCTCGCTCTGTGGTCCAGGCTGGTTTTGAACTCTCCATCCTCCTGCCTCAGCCTCCCAGATGCTGCACTTGGCCCGGGAAGTCTTTGGTTACTGATCCAATCTTTTCATTGTAGTTTCAGTTTCTTGAGCCAGTTTTGGTAGGTTGTGTGTCTGGGAATTTGTCCATGTCATTTATTGGTGTGCAGTTGCTCATGGTATAACCTTTTTTATTTCTTTAAAATTGATACTAATGTCCCCACTTTCATATCTGCTTTATTTTTTTGTCTTTTGAGAAAGGGTCTGGCTATGTAGTTCAGCCTGTACTTGAACTCACTGTGTAGCACAGGCTGGCCTCAAACTTGCAAGGATTTTCTTGCCTCAGCCTCCCAGGTGGTGGGATTACAGGTGTGCGCCCCCACAGCCAGCTCATATTGGATTTTTTTTGGTACCAGGAATCGAACTCAGGACTTCACGCTTGCCAGGCAGGCACCAGTTTACTTTTTGAGACAGTCTGTCATAAGGGAAACTGGGCTTCCAGCTCGTGACCAGCCGCTTTTCACCCTCAGGGAAGGGGGACTCCTTTGAAGGATCCAGTGACAGCTTCTTGCTAAGGTGTCGTCCTGTGTGGTTCCAGGGCTAATGCAGACGCCTCTCTGCCGCTGCAGGTTTTCAGGAACCCCCATGAAGTGGTGACCGTGCTGCTGATTCAGACCCTGGGGGCTCTGGTGCCCTCCCTGCCCATGTGCCTCAGCGCCAGCGTGGAGCGGGCAGGGCCGGAGCTGGAGCTCACCAAGCTGCTGGAGTTCTACGACACCACTGCCCACTTCGCCCGGGGGCTAGAGATGGCCCTGCATCCCCACCTCCGTAAGCATTCCTTCCGCCTTCCCTGGCCGCCTTTACTGGTGCTTTTTGAAGTGTGTGGGGCCTGGTTTGTTTGCCTTTTCCAGTGACTGCAGAAACAGAAGGGACCCGTCCTTCCCACACGTGCGCAAGCCTCGTGCATGGAAGCGTTGCCGCGGCGGCAGCGCTGCTTTACTGTGTTTGTGCCGTCCCGGCGCGGCCCGGCCTTTCCGTGCTCTGGCGGAGGTGGAGACCTTTGTGCCGCAGCAGAATGTGAAAGGCTTCCCTGGGCAGGCGGTTGGCAGTGCGTCTCACTGGGAGAATGTGTGTCCTCCTTCTTTCAAGTCATAAACCTCAGATGATTCAATCTGAAAAGTAAATTCAAAAGAACACGTCCGCTGGGGAGGTTTGTGAAGGGGCAACGGCAAGCTTTTCGGGGGAGGACGGCTGTGTTTGGACTGAAGGCGGCTGCAGGGCAGGCGGGCTTCCCCGTGACCAGCTGGGACGAAAGCACTCCTGATTCCCACTTGGGCAAACAGTTCTTGTTGTGTTTCCTTGCTGTCTTCCACGTACGTGAAAAGCATCATAAATTTTTAAGTGACACAGAGCTCGTGACACATGCTGCCGTCAAATCAGGAAACTGCTTGGGAAAGCCCTGTCCTGCCAGGTGGCTGCTGTGTGTTACCAACTGGGTTTATTTAATAGTTATTCTCGCTAATTACATTTGCAGGTAATTGCCTGTACATTCCAGGGAGTGTGTTTATTGATGATTCATAGATGTCTTTGGCACAGTCTTGGGTCAGGCCTCAGGTGTGGGGCAGGCACGGGGGATGTGAGTGGCTTCCAGAGGAGCGCAGTGGCCCGGCCAGCTGACTAGAGACTGCAGGCCTCGTCCTGCTGGAGCAGGGTGGTGGGCGCATGGGGAGCCAGTGCGCTCCTCTCTTTGGAGACAGGCTTTTGTGATGACCCGAGAGCCAGTAGAGATGCGTTTTATAGTCAGCCATGGGAGTTTGAATTTTTGACAGTTCCTTTTGAGGTTTTTCAAAAGAACTTTTGTTAGTTGGGCATGGTGGCATACGCTTGTCATCTCTGCACTCGGGAGGCTGAGGCAGGAAGATTGCTGCGAGTTCGAGGCCAGCCTGGGCTACACATTGAGTTCAAGGATATCCTGAACTACATAGTGAGGCCCTGTCTTGAAAAAACAAAGAAACAAAAAGCAAAAGAAAGAGTTTTTCTTTTTTTAACTGAAAAATACTTTAGAAACGTAGGTGAAAATAAAAATAGAATAGGTGTGATCCCTAACTTCATCCCTCAGGGCCACCAGCAACATTCTGCTTCGTTTCTTCCCAGGAACTCAAGTGTAAATGTACATCGTTCACAAATGTTAACAAAAACATTGCACATACAGTATTTAAATACTATGTGAGTATTATAGTATATACTATATACTATATAGTATATACTATGTGAGTATTATAGTATATACTATGTGAGTATTATAGTATATACTATAATACATTTTGTATTAGATATTCCTGCACTATGTGTGTCTGTTGTAATGCAACACACAATGTAATATACAAATATTGTTGAATATTAGTGTACAATTTTGTAATCTCTTTGTTGCCCAAAATAACATGTCTTTTCTTATGTCATTAAATGTTATCCTATGGCATAATTTTTAACAACTGTTTCATATAGTATGACATAATTTTTAACCACTATTATTAGACTATTGTGAACTATTTTACTTGTTAATTTTTTAAAACAGCTGTGATTATTTCTTAGGATAAGTTTAGGACTGTAGTAGCTAAGAAATGAACATTTTAAAGATGTTTGTTATATTTACTCTTTCTGCCCGCAACCCCAGTTTGTTTTGAGACAGGGTCTTGCTACATGTCCAGGCTGCCTTGAACTCACTGTGTAGTCCAGGGTGGCCTTCAGTTTGCGGTGGTGATCCTCCTGAGTCAGCCTGCTGAGTACTGGGGTTGCAGGCGGGTATCGCCGTGGCCAGCCGTGCTGATTTTAGTGTCTGTTGTTTGTGAGTGAGGGTGTGAATCCCCATGTCCTCACCAGTACTAGACTATTCATTCTTCTTTACTGTCAGGTTCCTAGATAATTAATGACATATCATTTTAGTTTTTTACTTTGGTTTTCTATCAGTTTTGGAAGCTGTATTATAAAAAGGATATATATAGGCTGGGGATGGTGGTGCATGCCGGTAATCCCAGCCCTCGTATGTGAGTTTGAGGCCAGCCTGGCCTACGTGAGTTCTAGGCCAGCCTGAACTGCATGGTGAAACCGTGTCTCAAAAAGATGAAAAAAAAAAACTCCAAACTACCATTTTTCTATTATTTTAATAGTTAAAACATATACATGTTATAATATAAAATAAATAAAAATTTTATAGTAAAAAGTAAAATTTGAAAATAATTTAAATGGATTTTATAATTAACGAGCAATCTATATTTATTATAAAACTTACTGAACATGAAAGGAAGGCAAAAAATACTTTAAATTGCCGTCTAGAAACAGCATTGTGGCTTACCCGTCTGAGCAAATTTTGTATACGAGTGTGTGTGTATGTCTGTATACTTACGTGTTTGCAGTAAGGTATTTGCTTATTATCACACTCAAGAAGCTACCCTGATTCCATGCTGTCATATACTGTGCATCTCTATTCAGACGTTCCAGTTCCACAGACGTCTTCCTTGTTCTTTCCTCTGGCCCTGAGGAAAGTGTGTGTGTGGAAAGTGTCTGTGAGGAAAGTTCCACAGACGTCTTTCTTTTTTTTTCCTCTGGCCCTTTGTGCTGAGCTCTGTCCCAGCCCTTTTCTAATCTGTTATTTTTAGACAGGGTCTTGCTAAGGTCACTGTGTAGCCCAGGCTGAGCTCGAACTTGTGATCCTCCTGGCTTAGTGTCCTGGAGTGCAGGGATCGCTGCTGCGCACCGCCGTGCCTGGCTGCCCACGTCCTGCTAGCTGCCTTCCCAGCTCGGCCTCCAGCGTGACTCATTCACTGCACTTGGCTGTCCTGTCTCTTTCACCCTAAAGCAGCCATCCCACCTGTGCTCTGCCTTCCATGACAGACATTTGAAGGTGGGGCAGCTGTTCTCATGGAGTGTCCCACATCCTGGAGTCGCCCGGCTCTTTCCTTACTGTTAGATTTATAGCGAGCGTCTGCGGCCGAAACGCTGCACTGACGCTGATGCACCTCCTTCTGCACCACATCAGGAGGCACAGAATACCCTGCTGTTAACAGGCGGGATTAATCGCCTGGTAAATGTGTCTGCCGGATCTCTATTAAATCGTCTGCGGGATGATACTGTGAGCGCTCAGGGAGCTACGGTTCCCCAGGAGCACATACCCAGTGGTTAGCTTTCACTGACAGTCCTTGCTTGAGTAAACTTAACAGTGCTGATTATTCTTTTTGCAGTTACTTGCTGGCACTCTTTCGTAAAGAAAAGATTTTTCTTTCTACCTCTTTAGTGTCACTATGAATTCAATTCTTTTAAAAATTATTCAGCGTGTTGTGATTCATTATTACCATTTTTTGTTTTGTTTTGTTTTTTGCTGTCCAGGGTTTTCATAATAAACTGCATTCCCAGCCTTTTTTTTTTAAGACAGGGTCTTACACAGTTGCCCAAGGCTGGGTTTAAACTTGTGATCCTCCTATTCAGCCTCCCAGAGTGTTGGGATTACAGGTGTGCATCACTTGCCTGATGGACCATTCATTTTGATGTCCAGATTATTTCAAGTTTAGGCTGTGGTTGCCTCTTCAAGCTTCCTCTTACATCTTTTTGTCTCTGTCAGTTTTTGAGTAGCTCCTTGCTTTTTGTCACATAATATCCTAAGAATACCTTGTGATTTCCTTCCCTTAGTCCTAGAATCAGCATCCCAGGAAGACTGGTTTCTTCTAGTGGGAAATGATGCTTAGAAACCAGAATCTGGGCATTAAGGGTGCTCATTATTGCTGAGGTATCAGTACTTCAAGGCTTTTTTGGTGGACATATTTTTAAAAATGGGCCAGTTTATAGTGATGCTTTGCGGTCAGATCCAATGCCGTAAGATTTTTACTTCTTTTACACTCATTTGCATCACCCATGTCCTACACTGAGAATCTTGGTTCCCACCTTGTATGTGTGCGTGCATGCATGTGTATATGTGTGTGCACACCCACACACACGCATGTGCTATTACTTTCTATGACTGCATTCTGTTTTGTTTTCTTTTTTCATCTTTTTGAGACAGGGTCTTGCTGTGCAGTTCAGGCTGGTCTTGAGCTCACTTTGTAGCCCAGGCTGGTCTTGAACTCACAATGATCCTCCTGCTTCAGCCTCCCAAGTGCTGGGATTACAGGCGTGTGCCACCATGCCTGGCTCGATGACTGCGTTCTGGATAGGTCAAAATAAATCTGTTGTATTCATTCAAGCACAGATGGACTAGTGCTGGAATTTGGGCCTTTGAGGATGCAGTGCCCTACAGAACAGGGTAGTTCCTGCTCTCACGCAGTGGCTGTTCCAGTGGGAGTTAATCAGATAACACACTAATGAACGCATCGTTGCAAAGCGAGAGAAAAGCAGTTGTTCTAAGCCTGTATAGACACCAGGTTGAGCCTGGTGGGGTCCAGGCGAGTGTCGGAGGAGGAAGAGGAGTTGGCTGGAGGACGAGGGGCAGGTCCGTCCTGCCGGAGGAGTCAGCAGGAAGCCCGCAGAGAGCAGGGCGCTGTCGGGAGCTGAGGCGGGCTGGGGGCTAGGCAGGGCATGAAGGGAAGTGAGGCTGAGAGCAGTAGTAAAACTTACTCCTGTTCATCAGAGTGCTTATCCATGCTGATGCGCATTATCTTACCTGGTCTTCGCAGCAGTCTTATGACATGGTTGCTGTTGTCGCCCTCATTTTATCTCAGAGGGAAGAGGCACAGAAAAGTGAAGTCGCTGGTACACAGTCACGTGCCTGCGGCCTGTACTCTTCTGCAGTGCCTGGGGATGGAACCCATGCACACCTAGGCAAGCACCCAGCGGCTGAGCTCCCCCGCTGCCCAGATTCCCTCTTGATTGCCACTGTCTCCTACTTCCTGAGGGGAGGCCTGCGGGGCTGTGCCGAGTCCAGGGAAGATTTTGCGAAGGCACCAGAAGTTGCCGGTGGGGCAGTCATGTGACCAGGGTTCTGTCTTCCGTGTAGAGGAGCCTGGAGAGAACCAGAAGAGTGTGAGGAAACTGGCCAGGCTGGGTGGTGCATTAACTAACAGCCAACTTGTGAGGCCCAGCTGAACGGAGTCAGGGCCCACCTGAGGGTCGTTGCCAACAGCATAAAAAGAAGAACTGGACAGGAAGAGGTGGTGGTGGTGGTTCTCCTGGAGAAGCTTGTCTCGCTGGCTTTCCTGATACGAACTCCGCTGTTTTCATCATTGGAGGAGCTTGGGACCTCACTGTTGCCGAGGATGACTGTGGTACTTTTTGGGGGAGCTCTGGTCCGTCCTTTGAGAGTTGCTTCCCGGCTCCAGTGCAGATCCCTCATCCCGCTGGCACAGACTTCCTAGATTCACCACTGACCTTTGGGCCTTTCCAGCACAGATCCCTGAAACAGGCCTGCATGAGAGATTCTCGTTGATTCTTGGCCTCCAGTTGGACTCATGGGAGGCGTTGTCATGGGCTCTAGATTTTCAGCTGGACTCATGCAGGACATTGCCTTGGGATCCAGGCCCTCAGCTGGGTTCTTTGGGTCTTTAGTGTGTGGCAGATCTCCTGTACTCTTTTAAACTGACTAAAAATTTGGGTGACTCCTATAAAATAATCCTATACATTGTGTGTCCTGTATTAAACTGTTTTTCTTGTAAACCCTGAGTACAACAGGCTGTTATATCTACCCATACCCTGTTCAAATTTCTAAAACTCTCTGGTCCTGACTGTAATTCTGTGAACACCCTTCTATGTGCACTGTATTTCTGCTGGGGTAATTGATTTGATGGGGTAACTTTTACATTGATTGCTTTGGGGTAACTCTTACGCTGATTGCTTTGGGGTAACTCTTACGCTGATTGCTTTGGGGTAACTCTTACGCTGATTGCTTTGGGGTAACTCTTATGCTGATT